TTTTTTTTCCCCCCTGAACACAAAGGAAAAGACTACAGCAACCAATGTCTTGGTTTCTATTCTATCTGTCTTGAATTGTAACAATTCAGCAGCAAGGCAAGCAGGTTTGCTGTTCCCTGACACAGGTTATAGCCCAGTTTATAGACTGAATACCTTATAATAGTCAGTGAAGAAAAATTAACACAGCTTGACCAAATGCACTAAGACATTCCACCAACTGCAGTCTAAAAGCCACCAAAAGAGACAGCATTATGCTGCTGTAGCAACTATTTCACCACATGCAGTTCCTTTATTTATCTGTCTTTAATTAGCACATTTTTAACGTCTATAACTCTGAGGGACTCAATGACAGTACCATAGGCGTAACTGGTATTATAGACAAAACAAAGCCAGACATACAACTACAGAAGTACTTTGGAGTATGCTAGAAGACAGTCCATTCCTGAAAATGCGTTGGAAAAAATTTACAGCCTCCATAAGACTTTCTCTTAAAAAATCAGGAGTTTGGCAAAATTACTCTCATTACCCTTAATCAGCTCTGAAAGCCACTACCAAGAGAGTCTTATTCTCTTCCTCTTTCTTCTTCAGCCATTTATTTCTACCTATTTCCTTTTGCTGTGTCAAGCACTCATGCGGTAAACCAGCTCAGCAAGTTCATTAGACAAAAATAATCTAACATAAAACGTCAGAGCACCAATCCAGCTTATCATGTCACTAACTGGAATGGAAAGGGGATGGCAGGGGAGTGGAGGGAGTAGGGAACCTGTCCTTTTGATGGCAGTCTGCATTTTATCAGATCAAGCATACCACAAACCTGCACTCCAGCAAACTAGTAAGAGACACCTAGTATTAGACAGAACACGTCTGAGTTAGCCTGATAGCTCCTGCAGATTAGGTAGGGCTGGTAGCCTTTAAATCCTTAAGAATCTTAGGTTAAATTTAACTCAGTTTTCTGATTTGCAGAAAGATTAGTTATCAACTTCACTGGAAAAATCTACTCTTCTTACATATTTGGCTGTTAAGAGCAATACCACACCCTTTCAGAAGCCCACAGATTTCCTCAGTATGGGTTTTCAGTGAGAGTCCACAACAGCAATGCTTCTATTACTGACTTTTTCATTTCAAGGAAGCTGTTTTGGAAGAGGCTTAGCAAACTGCAGGGCAGAGGAAATTCTTCCAAGGATGAAACTGTACATTCAGAGGGCTTTAACAGATTTTGCTTCTGTGGGTAGGTCGAGACTGATGGTTTAAATGGTCTAAACCCAGTTCGCACTTACTTGACTTCAAATTAAAACCTTGTTTTATAAGCTGTCTAGTTAAAATGCTCAATTAGGTTATGTATTTAATTATTTCTAAAAAAATTGGTATTTCAAATACTATTCTAAGTGCAAAAAATACTGAAATTGAGGGATCGGATAATCATCTTTTGGGAGACACCAACTGGTCTTATCTATTTAATTACATTCATAATGAATTTTTAACTTTAAAGTAAGAATTTAACCTTTCATACTGGGAGATGATATGCAAACATGATAAACAGCAATTGCATTTTCCAGATCAATTCCTCACTTAAAAAACCAAAACCCTAAACCTAACGGCTTAAATTTTGATGGAAGAATGTATGTTTACCTGAAAGATGCCATTTCTTTTCCAAGGTTTAAAACCGTGCAAGTTCCAGTGGTTTTTCAATATATCTTTAGAAAAATCTGTGATTGTTATTAATTTTTTGAAACTAACTTTACACCAAATTTACCTGAAAAGGGTGCAGGAGCAAAAATTTATGCATTGATGACTAAAAGTGCTAGAAAGGGTGACGTGCACATTTGCACCAGAATGTCAAAGGACACATTGCGCATTTGGCCGTTGGGAGTCCTACATGGGAAAGCAGTGGATGCCATAGAAGAAGAAGAATGTAGCATGGGACTGTACTACAAAATCGCTTTTATCCATCGATATATTGCTAATCCACGCAATCACAGGGCAAACCTCGGAGTATTTCAACGCCTGTTTCTTAACAGGTTAAAAGGTTTCCTGTGTATTTCACCTTCCCCTCGACAGCAGCCGCTGGCTCTGCGCAAGGCCGCGACACGGGGGGCCTGCCCTCGGGCGATGGCTCTGCCCCGGGAGCACTCTCGAACCTTCTCCCGAGCCGGAGCAGGCGCGGGATCCCGCCCAGACACGATGCCTGCGTACCAACGGCAGCTCCACGACCACTTCCAGCGCGGCCGCTGGCGCTAGGGCCGCGGAAGCGCCTGCCTCCGCTGCCGACACCGAGCAAGCGGTGCGGAGGTTAATGGCGGCGGGGCGGGGAAAGGAAGGGGTAGGCGGCCCTGCCCCGCTCCCCCCGGCCGGGCTCCCGGCTCTGACAGTCCCGACCCGACTCCAGAACCGTCCACGTGTCAGCAGGCTGCTTCGCGCCCCGCACCGACTTCGCGCGGCCGAGTGCGGCCGGTGAGGCGGCCGGGGGACGCCAGGTCGGGCCGCCGG